AGAGGGTACTGACACCGGACACCACGAGAAGGTAGAAATCCATCGTCCTAACTGCTTGACGATAGCAGTCACCCAGCGTGCTCGCCAGGGGCACTTTTTTTTAGTCATGCGATGCTTTGGGTGAGCCCTAAGCGCGAATCATACCACTAGACCATCCGGGCACTTGATACTTGTTACAGTGCCGACCGTTATTGCCTTCCGTATCGGAAGACAAAGATATACTATTTCAAACCCTAATCACATGGTACACTAATCCAGAGACGATTAGCTCTGTAATAAAAGCTTGTTACAGGTTTACGTTGTAACAATGATGAATGTATGAAACCGTACACTCATGTACTGCTACATGTCTATAAATAGGCACTTTTCCATATCCAAAAATAAACACCCCCTCCCCAACGCCCAACGCCCAACCACCATGGCGACTTTTGTTCAAACTCCTCCCAGCCCAGCAACTGCAGTCCACCAAACCACTGACAAAATGGCAAGAAACATCGAGTCCTGGCAACGTAAGATGATTATCCACATGATCTGCAGCAAGAACAGACTTACTACATCGCAAATGGCAAAGGTAGCGCAGTGCAGTGAGCGCTCCATCACTAACATCCGCAAGAACTTGCGGTTATTCGGTAGTGCCAGTTCCCCCCCAGTCTCGGTCGGCCGACAACGAAGTATCGCCCCTATCATGCTTGACGCCCTCTGTGACCACCTCGCCGAAAAGCCTGGCCTATACGTAGAAGAGATGGCTATCTTCCTATGGGATGAATTCAACACATTACCATCGTCATCTAGTGTCAAACGCGCTCTTTCGCGGGCTGGCTGGACGAAAAAGAAAGCACAGCAAAGAGCCAAAGAACAGAACCCTCAACTTCGAGATTTCTACCAACATAAATTATCTGAATTTCGGTCATATCATCTTGTGTTTGTTGATGAATCCGGATGCGATAAAAGGATTGGATATAGGCGAACTGGCTGGTCACCACTCGGTGTGACACCAGTCCAAGTGTCAAAATTTCATCGCGGCCAACGCTATCAGATACTGCCCGCATATGCTCAAGACGGTGTCATAATATCTCGTATTTTCAAAGGTTCAACGGATGCCGCCTTCTTCGAATCGTTTATCGAGCAACTTCTCCAGCACTGTGGAAGGTGGCCGGAGCCAAAATCCGTGCTTGTTATGGATAATGCATCATTCCATCATTCAGATCGAATCAAGACTTTATGTGCTGAGGCGGGAGTCAAGTTACTGTACCTCCCGCCATATTCGCCGGATTTCAACCCATCGAAGAATTCTTTGCCGAGCTGAAGGCCCATATCAAGAAAGCTTGGTCAGCATACGAAAAGGATCCTGCCCAAGGGTTCCATGCTTTCCTTCGGCGGTGCGTTTATGAAGTAGGTGCGAAACAGGATAGCGCCGAAGGCCATTTCCGATATTCAGGTATTTCCATAGAGAAGCTATGACTGGCTGTCGTATTTCGGAGCTTCGTGTTTGCGCACTATCCGTTTCACGTTCTCACATTGTGCCAGATCGGTTTGTTCGTATTTGTGGCTTGTTATTCAGTAATATTTTGTATTGGGTGAAAGACCCTGTCTCTTGTCGTTGTAATGTTTGATTTTGCCAGTTACTGTTATGATGATTGATTACTGGAAGCTATACAAACTAGAAGATGGCCGGAGCCGAAATCCGTCCTGGTTATGGTTAACTTATCTCTCCATCACTCTAATCGTATAGAAGAGATATGCGTCGATGCAGGAGTAAGGCTAGCATTTTACCACCTTACTCCCCTGACTTGAATCATATCGAGGAGTTCTTCTTAGAATTAAAGTAATCTTCGAAGTCAATATTGCCGGAAGATACTGGTATAACCCCTGTTTCGTAATGTATAGGCTAAAAATAGAAATTTAGTGGGTTATAAAAGAAAGGAGGTTCTCCGGAAGCCAGAAGTTTCACTCACTCATCACTCATTGTCAAGTTTAACACAAGTGTTTGCTTCTAAACATCACCAGTTTCAACGAAACTTATACATAGGGATCACCTCTTTCTTTGAATTCGAGCTCCATTCCTTATATTCGCTAATCGCCACCACGGACAGAATGGCTCAAATCCAAGGCCACTGCGAAGCCCGGTTTTCTAAGCTCCGCGACTTAATGCAAGAGTTCATCGCGTCCGGACAAGACATCGGTGCCAGTCTGTGTATTAATATCAATGGCGATAATGTGGTAGATATATGGGGGGGCTATGCAGACGCATCGACCAAGAAACCGTGGGAAAAGGATACGGTAGTAAATGTCTTCTCAACCACGAAACTAGTCACCAACCTGGCGGCTCTAATGCTCATCTCACGTGGTTTGCTTGCCCCCGAGGATAAGGTGGCCCATCACTGGCCTGAGTTTGCAGCAAACGGGAAGTCGGAGGTCACTGTCGGCCAAATCCTAGCCCACACGGCGGGTCTCAGCGCCTGGAAGGACAATATGAAGCTGGAGGACCTATACAACATCGAGGCGGCAACCGAAAAGCTAGCGCGCCAGGCACCGCTCTGGCCTCCCGGAACCGCCATGGGATACCACGGCATAACGCAGGGATTCCTCGTCGGAGAGCTGGTGCGAAGGAAAACGGGAATGACGATCGACAAGTTCGTAATGGAGGAGATTTGCCGGCCGCTGGGCGATGGGACTGACTTCCAGCTTGGGTGTCGCAAGGAGGACTGGAACCGGGTGGCCCCCGTCGTACCTCCACCGGGGCCTTCCATCCAGGAGGTGCTTAGCCAACAGGCGGGATATAAGCACGACTCGATCGTCATGCGTACGCTTTGCAACCCCGAGCCCACGGCCGAGGACGCTAACACTGAGCTCTGGCGGTCCAGCACGTTGGGCTCAGTTAACGGCCATACAAACGCTCGGTCGTTAGTCAAGATCCTCTCTTGCTTCTCGCTCGGTGGCACGTGTGCGGAAGAAGGCCCTCGCCTGCTGTCGCCCGAGACAGTGAAACTGGCGCTTACAGAGCATGCGACAGGAATAGACTTGGTGACGGGGCGGAGCGGAAGGCGTGGACTTGGGATATACCTCACCGGGCCTGGGTCGGGAAGCGTCGAAGGCAAGCTGCCGGAGGGCAATGTTGGATGGGGTAGCGGATGGGGGGGCTCGGTCGTGGTTATGGATAGCGACAGGAGGCTCACAATCGCGTATGCTATGAACAGGATGCTGAGCGCAGAACATCCTTCCCCAGCAGCATATATCAAGGCGGTTTATGAGATACTTGAAGCTACCCAAGCTGCCTAGGATATAGACGAGCTTGGTTCAGAAACTGCATAACTCTGGATTTGACAGAAGTAGGTCATACTAGGCATGCAGTGCCAAGGTGTAATATATGCTCATTCAGGAAACTTTAAGCCCTGCTTTCTTTTCAATAGACCAGACGGCGCATGCTATAATTTCGGTAATAACGACATATTTAAATTCATCCTATAAGCCGATACCCGCAGCATAATATATTGAGGCACTATCCAAGATAAATAAAACACCTTGACGCACAGAAAATCCGCCTCTTAACAGTATGGACCTAATCAGACTTAAAGTGAGAGAGATAGCCGTTAAACTTATTCGGTATCAGCAGGAATCTCCCCAGCGCCCTGGTCAAGTAGCATATTTGATTTCATCACAGTAACCCACTCATTTATATCGCGTAGGAAGCGACGGGCTGTTCCAATCCGAATCCCTCGCTGAACGAAGAAGCCAGCGTCTGGGTCATTAAGGATCAGTTCAAGATCGAGGTGGTGTTCCAACGTCACCTGGCAGATCTTCCGAAAATCTGCTTTGTACTCCTTGTCGGTGGCGCGTGATTCCAGCCACTCGCAGTAGTCCCTTACTGCCGCCTCCCGAGACCCAGGAATCACGAGAGGCTCGCTGGGTGTATGTTTGGGTAGGAAGGAGGTCAATGTGGGCGCATTCGCGGCTTGTGCTGGCAGAACATTGATGATGGTGGGGGGATATGGTGGTCCAGTCGATGTTGCATCTGTCTTTATCGACTTCTTCACTCCTATAATTAAAAGTAACGACTATAGTGAGCTTCTTGCCAATACGAAGCAAATTGCTCCATTTACGTAGCTGCTTCTCCACTGGTTTCTAGTCGATGTTAGTAGAGTCGTAGAATTTTTCAATTTTTCTCTGGGATCGGTCATTCGATTTCTGTGCCCTCAGATCGAAGTCTCTGGTGACGTTTCTTTTTCATTTGCAGTAGGCCATCAACGGCTGCTTTCAGAGTCTCCTCCCAATATTCGCTAGGAGCTACAACCAAATTTTCTTCCGTTACTCTACCTACCGTCTTGCGGTTCAGTATAACCTTCCATTCGATTGTGTAACAGACGTATTTCGGAGGCTCCTCATCGTATTCGCCACCTTCCTCCCATTCGGCAGACGGTAGGAAATCAAGCTGATCTGATAGTGGCTGATCCGTGGCACGATATGGGGCAGGACTAGGGGAGTACAAGGTTGCGGGTGTGCTACCGAAGTTACCAGGAGTGGGGGCATACTCCCATGGGTCGATCATCCGGGAATGAGCGGCATCTTCAGCGAAATAGCTCTGGGTCATCGCGGATGTCTGTGGTGGAGGGGTAAGCCTAAAGCTGTAAGTGGTTAGTCAGGAATGCATGATGCCCAATAAAGACCCGAAGCCGCCACATGGCGATAAGCAGTCGCTGTCACGAAACAAATCTTACTGTCAAGCCTTGCCCATCAATTTGAGCCAAGATGGACACCCAAGACACCGACGAACCCTCTGCAATGAAGCAAAAGAGAGATGGAGGAGGGAAGTTGACAGATCCCCACGGTCGCCTAGTTTGCTCGGTTTGCATAGAGCCTTCTAGCCATACACCCTTGATTGTTGTACTCAGAGAGATGGGTACAAAGCTAGGTATTATTACACTGTATATACAAAACCAGTAATTTACTCCGAATCCATTTTGGGCTAGTGTATCATGTGATTAGGGTTTGAAATGGTTTCTCTCTGTCTCCCAATATGGAAGGCAATAACGGCCGCTACTGTACCAGATTGGGGACACTCTGTACCACTGGCGGTATCGTAACGGGACACTCTGTACCACTGGCGATCCGGACATACTGTATCTGACAGATACTGTACTGAAAAGGAAGAACCTAGTG